TTTTTTAAAGGCTAGTCTAATTATATCCACCACTTGCATGTTCAGAACTCTACAGGAGCACTGGGTGCCACACTGTACTGTTCTAAACTTAAATCCTGACAGCTGTTCTCTTCTTGGCTCTGCTTCCTCTGATGTCAGATTATTGTGAGCTGCCTAGCAGCTGACCACAGTCCTTTGCTCTTCTACATGTTAGCTGTTTCTGGTGATGCATGGCTGATGCAATGCCTACTATGGCATGCAATCTAGGCACCCCTAGTAAACATTTCTGTTGATTTCAGCACAAGATAAACTTTCTAAAAGAAATAATGTCAGAGAGAAAACTATCTCTTTAATGTGTTTTGCAATTGTTGCGTAAAAAAGAACAAGAAACACAAAAGATTTAAAATTTGATTCCAGGTACCTTTTACCAAAAGTCAAAGCTTTATAAATCCTCTGCCTCTCTAATACTTGTCATAACAACTAGCACTCAAGGGCTCCTTTAAGCCGGTGCAGCACACTGCCCAGAACGCAGGAAAAGCCTTTTTTGAAGACTCCAAAGCATTTAACCTAATTAAGAAATGGTATTTAGCAGGAACGGTGGTGGTCAAGTTAAGGTCTGGAACACTGAAAAAACTGATGCTACTAGGATAGCTGGAAAGGTAAATCAAAAATTCTCTTTGACTAAAAAAATCCTTGGCAGACTGATGGTGAATTTTTTTCCACTGTGCAGTCTTAAAAATCCTGCTTACTTAGCACAAAATTCAGCATTAAAGCCATGCATATAAACATCTAAACAAGCCTGATAGAGTCTAGAAATTAATCCTGAGGTTGGAGGATAAGATTAAAATAGAACTTATTTGCTGTGATGAGCAAAGGTATGTTTGGAGATGAAAGGGTGCTACAGTTACACAAAAAGAAGAACTTTCCAACTGTTAGTACAAGGGTTGATTGATCATGCTTTGGGCTTGTGCTGCAGCCAGTGGTACATGGAACATTTTCACTGATAGAGGGAGGAATGTACTAAATAGCTGAATAATATAAAGGCAGTTTATTCTGGGAGCAGTCTGTTGCTAAAAGCTGAAGATGACAAGAGTCTGGATTATACAACCGGATAATGATCCTAAATATACCCTAAAAATGCACCATGGACTACCTCAAGAGGATCGACCTGAACGTTTTGCCTTGGCCCTCTCAATCCACTGATTTAAATATAATCCAAAATTTTTGATTAGACATCAAAAGAGCAGTGACTGCTAGACAGCCAAAAGTCGAACAGAAATTTTGACTAGGGTTGCACATCTCCATAGTTCATAGAAAATAACAATAGCTCCAACACGGCTTCATTTGCTTGGGCTTAGTAAGCAGCCACTGACTAAAAATTGAGCATGACCTTTGGTCCTTTTTTCCTTAGGTTGCAGATTGCCCAGGAGGAGCATCGAACAGTTGAAGTAGAGAAGGTAAATCTTGAGCAGAAGCTGAGGGATGAGATAAACGCTGCTAAGCAGGAGGCCCAACGATTGAGAGAGCTGCGTGAAGGCACAGAGAATGAGCTGAGTCGCCAAAAGTATGCAGAAGAAGAGCTCGAACAGGTAATGGTTGCAGTCTGATCAATTACATTTAAATGCAATCTGTAGTCCACAAAGTAGAAGCAGTGAATTTGAGTAAATAGAGAAGAAGACTCCCAAGGTGGCATCGGCACAGTATGTTTAGGTCTTTCAGATTCACACTAGCTATAGTGTAAATACACCCACTCAAGTCTTTGTCCTTTGGAATTTGGCAGAAGCAGCACAGTTCAGCCCACGTACGTAAGTGAAACTGTTTGTGCTTGGAGGATTATCACAGTGCACTAATTCAGATGTTTTTGTCACATTTGACTGTCCTGCTAATTTGGGATTAAGCAGGGCTTCTACATTCCATATATGTGCTGTTTTCATTAAATACAAGCCCGAACTTTACTAGATTTGAAACCCCTGCTGCTGTAGTACCAGTTGTACCCATTTAAAGAATAGTGCAGGTAATCGTGGATATAGGTAATTAACAGGTAAATGGTGGCCAAACCTGCGTGATGCCGAGACTCTCCTGATGTCTGCAGTTGAGAAGGGGCAACTGTGGAAACGTTCGGACTTGATTTTACATAAATTGTCCAAAATTCATGTTTGAAAATGGGGGGCCATTTACGTAGACACCTTTATTCAGGTTTGAGGTTACATCTGAGCTTTCAGTGTGTGGGATTGGGTTATTTGTGGATATAGAAAAGGCTAAAAATTGTTGGCAGATTGTGGGTCCATTTTTCTTATGTGCTCATCTAGCATGGCTAATAGTTGAAACTTGTTGCAGGTGCGCATGGCATTGAAGAAGGCGGAGAAGGAGTTGGAGTCACGGAGTAGCTGGTCGCCACCAGAGTCTCTACAGAAATGGCTGCAGCTCACCCATGAGGTGGAAGTGCAGTACTACAACATCAAGAAGCAAAATGCTGAACGGCAACTCCTGGTGGCCAAAGAAGGGGTTAGCATGCAAAATATATATACATTTCTTTGTGTATGTTAAACAAATAGAATATCATAAAAATAGAGCTTTATGCTAATAATTTAATATCCAAAAATGGCAAACTTCCACAAATTCTGTATTCATTAACCATGAAGCTTTTCCTGTTCTTAAATATTTGGTCAGTTGTTGTAACCTGGGCACCACTTTCCACTTCCTCCTGCTTACTTTGATAAGTCCTTGGTCACTTGCTTTCGCAGGCAGAGAAGATAAAGAAAAAGAGGAACACTCTCTTCGGGACTTTCCATGTGGCTCACAGCTCCTCCCTGGATGATGTGGACCACAAAATATTAGCAGCAAAGTAAGTCAGAGACTCTTAATTGTGCGTTGATATGTTGTTAAAAAATAATAGCTGAGGAAAGACGATTTCATACATACATTTCATACATTCTCCTCTTTGCAAAGTTTTCTTTTAAATACTTTCTTCTGATCTTTTGCAGACAAGCCCTTGGCGAGGTGACCGCTGCTCTGCGAGAGAGGCTGCATCGCTGGCAGCAGATAGAGATCCTAACGGGTTTTACCATCGTCAACAATCCAGGCCTCCCCTCACTGGCCTCGGCCCTCAACCTCGACCCCACTTTCATGGGCGGCAGAGCTACACCTCAGCACTTCATCATGTCTGACGACATGGACGACATGGACGAGGATATCGTACCCGGAACTCTGTCATGTAAGAGTTCCTCCGAAACGCTCGGCCCTTCAGTGGGGATTAGCAAAAAAATCCCTAAACCTTCCTCCAAGGCTCTGCTTGGGAAATCCAAAAATCAGCTCACATGACAATTTGGACCTAATGCTACATGTATTACTGTGGTCTCCATGGTGCTGACGGTAGTGGGAGTTAGACATGTCGAAAATGAGTATTGAATGTTGTTTTACACTTCACACTATGTAAATTCAGATAATTGCCTTGTTGTTTTACACACGGTACCACTTGCCTTTTTGTTAACTGTTATTTTGGATACATTTGTTTATATCATTCAGTAAATTATTGAAACTGAAGATTGCCATGATTTTCCTCTGGAAACTGAAACCCAAAGAAAAATATACTTCTTAAAGAGAACAATTTTTTGTGTTGACCAATTTGTAGTGCTTGTGTCATGATACGTGTTATAGATATGTTGGATCAGCTTTTCGAAGGATGCCAAAAAAGGAAATACTTCAGATGTAGTCACTGGCAGAATTATATTCCTATTTAGGAACAAGATAGGATCACCAAAAAACACAACTCAGATTCTTACACACCTTACAGTTCTTGCAGAATTCATACATTTTTATACATATGTCGGTTTCAAACCATATTTGACTTTATATGGTAGGTTATGGGTTTAGGTAACTGGAGCTGCAATTTGCTGCACAAGTGAACAAGTGTTTAATCAACATTAATTACACTGCCTGTCTCACTCCCCTCTCTCCCTCCACCACTTCTCTGGTATTTGGCTCCCACTGCTGTCTCATTGGTCCAACTACAGATGGCAATCGACTGTTGGAACGGCGAGCTAGTGACCTGTGGTCCATTGGTTCAGACTGTCAGCCCGTGTGGAAATATCCTGGTTGGCCATTTATTCATGCCCCACTTCAGTCCTCAGTCTGACCTTCCCATCTCCGCTTTTGCCTAAAAAGAGTTTTCATACATTTTAACTGGCAGTATGCTCCAGATGGACCCAGCTGTAATAATAAAAAAAACCCCTCCATGCTGCCTTCATTTAAAAACACCCCCGACCTGACCTTAGTTGCTTGCTTGGTATTGAAATCCTCCTCCTAAATGTTGCCCCTCCTCCAGACAAGCCCCTTTTTTCTACTCCACTATTGTTTTGTATTTGTATTTTGTTTTTTTAAAGAAACAATTTTTTCCTATTTAAACTTATTATATTCTTATAATTTGTCTTTATTAGATGGAAAGATTAAACAAGTGTTGGGATTTTACTGATATGCATCACTATTGTGGAGTAAAGAGGCTAAAATTTGTGTATTTTTATATTTAATAATGTGTGACGTTTCCAAAGACTACAGCATCTTTTCAGTAATTTTCTCATTGTTCTCACTTTTTCCATCAGCCATTTCTTTTATGTTAATGTTACTAATGCTGTTATTTTGTGCCAACAGCTCCCAGTATGATGTCTCTGCGCCAACGCCACATTGATCCCCAGCTGGCCCTGGGCTCCCAGAGGTTGGTAGAGAGTTGCCTGTTGGCGGGGCAGCAGGGCGAGGGAACCCCCTACCATTCGAGGCCTAGGGCTACCTTCAGACATTCACGCAGCCACTCGTTTGGGCAGCTCGATTGTCTCCCTCTGCCTCCCCTCTCCTCGGCCGTTTCTCACCCGTCCATAATCTTTACTTCCAGCCAAATTCCTCAGTCGTCATCATCCTTATCCTCATCTTCCTCCTGCTTACCCAGCTCTGTGGGTGGCAGTGCAACCCCTCATTCCCATGCATACCATGCTTCTTTCCAGCCCATGGATCCTATTCCTGATTTGTCATTCTCAGATGTCTCCAAAGTGCACTCCTTGTGCAGCGACAGTTTCGGGTACCCATCTGTCTCCGTTCTCCACACACTTTGCATGTGCGTGGGTGTTTTTACACCACCTGTCATGGTTTTACCTTGATAACACATGTAGAGTAGATACACTTCCCTTAGTATATTCATTTTGTTATGTTTCCATTTTATTTTGTAATTTTTTTTCTTTTATAAAATTTCTCATCCTTCGCTGTTTTTAAGCCATTACAGAAACTTTGCATTTACTCTTTCAACCTCTCAGTGTTCCTCCTGTTCTTTGCCTGCTCAACTAACAAGTGTGGAGCCCCACTATCCAGCCTGTGCCCTGCGTGTCCATGACTTTCAAGGCATAGTGTAGATAAACTCAAGCATGCAAAGCTGCTTTTAAACATTCCTTGGATCTGATTTTTCCTTCTCTAACCTGTGAATTTTTCTTCCTGCAGGGATCTAAATCGCTCCGACTCAGACTCCTCTTTGTCCCTTTCACAAGTTGGTGATCGGCTGTCTGCCTGCAGCTCCAAAGGCCACTTAATCAAGCCCACTTCTCTCGTGCACGGCCTGTCCAACCGGGCAGATGATGCCGTCTCACTGCATGCTCACACCCCCAATGGAGGGAACCGTGTTTATGAGGGAGGTCCCGACAGCCCCATACTCATGAAGAAGGTGTACAGCCTGGGAGAGATCAACAGTCTGTCCGAGTCATCTCGCTCACTCAGCCCAAACTCCACTGAACCTGACACACCATCACCAACAGGAGGGCAGGTAGGAGTGGTGGGAGCTAAAGCCAACAGCCGCATCCCACAGCTGTCCTCCAAGAAGAGCCCCCTAGAGGAAGATAGTGGTTCAACAGGAGAAGACACAGATTCAGCTGCCAGCCGTAAGAAACATACCTTCAAGATCTTCAAAAAACAGAGGAAATAAAAACTAAATGAACTATGGGCTACCAAAGCTGTCTGACTGTATTCCTCTGTCTGACCTGTTTTTGTTTTTGTTATGTTTTTTAGTTTCTAGTTTTGGGGGTTCATTAATGGTCACATGATGGCAAGATTTTTTGTCATTGAATCTTTTTGTAGGTTACAACACCTACTTTGAGAGACTGTGGACTGTTTTACCCAGCTTTATCTGCTTATACTTGGTCAATGTTGAGTATGTGGGAAATGGGCAGGTTTGTATTTTGGAATGTAAAGTGTTATTTATTCTGCAGGAACTTGTGCCAGTGTCAAAGGGAAATATGTCTCCCACTTGTTGTTTCCTTTTTTTCCTTCTTGTTCTACAATCTATAACATTTTGCATGTCTTCACTTTTGTTTGACAGATACTCGAATGCTCTTAGTGTTTGCTTGGTTCTTGTTGTTAACCTGCTTAGACAACACTTGTTTCTTTTATTACTATCAAAACACCTACAAGTCCAAAGTGAATGCGCACTCCTGACTATTTTCTTTTTATTGATGGGTACACTTTGTCTGTTTTCTTTTTGTTGTCTTGTTTGCGGCAAAAATGACACATTCAGGGGATCTTCAAATACAAGAGGTGTATTAGAATGCTCCTGTATATTACCTTTGGCTGTAAAAACAAATGTTGTGTGTTGCTATTTGAACTCAGTATATTACGATGCCTTCTTAGGGCCATTCTAGGTAATAATAATAAAAAAATAATAAAAAAGGATCAGGGAGGGGGTGATACTCTGAAAAAGAAAAAATCCTAACTTTTATGAGATCTTAGATGGAAAATTTATTTTTTAAATGAATGCAAAAAAACCCCAAAAACTATAGTCTCACATTGAAGTCACAAATATACAAAATAAAAATGTTCCTCTTTTTGTAAAGCAATCTCATCACACTAGATGGTGCTTTGCCTCTATTATTCCTACTGACATTATTCAGATGCAGTCAGCAACTATCTGGGAGCCCATAATATCACATTAAGTATTGCTGTTTATTGGGTTATTCAGAAGAAATATACTGATTTGCATGAGATGCTTTTGTGTAACAGTTATTCTTGCATCACGCCTCAACTTGGCCATTTTCTGTTTAGCAATAGAAACCACATTTTTAAAAAGATAAAATAAAAGATAATTATTAAGGGTTTTAATGTTTTTCTCAGAATATTAATCGGATATCTTTTTTCCACATAGAACAGCCCTAATAAGCTGTCCTAGTGTATCAGCATTAACTGCTGGGTCTAAATGTATTTGTATTGCACCCTAGAGGTAAATTCTTGCAAAGTATCTAAAGGACCAGCATCAGACCTTTTGCAGTTTTGAGTTTTAGTGCGTTTGAAAAATGGGAGAGTGAAGAATGTCTCTTCTATCTCTTGGCTGAAATATCCAGCTTATCTTAAGGACTATCACTGATTACACTGGGGGTTTACACACACCCTCACTGAACCATACGGTTATCAGGTGTTTGAAGACTAAACATGTCTAGGGTGTATATAGAAATAAAAAGATTTATTAGGCAAGAAATTACCAAGATGTTTGAAGTGGCAGCCATGAAATGCAATGGTATCTTTAGGTATTTAATTTTAAAGTTAGGATACACATTGTGAAAAGAAAATGCTAGAGATGCTTGCTTTCTACACCTGTATATCATAAGAAAATGTACACCTTTGGGTTTGTTTTGTAAGAATAGCCCCTTGAAGGTTAACCAGGATCCCACAATTTTCACGTAATGTGGATTGGGCTATGCGGTCCTGTCTTTTAGTTTTATTTTTTTGTTTGTCTTTTTAGTGGACATTAAAAGATCCACAGCAGTTTTTTAGTGAGGATTGGTTGTTGGTAAGGGCTATAATTAAGGAAAGTCTTTTGCTCTGTACAAGACTGAAAATTTAAAGTTGTAACCACTTCTGGTTAACGTTTTATGGAGGCAGGAAGTCAATCATGTAAAAGTGCCAAATTGTGATTTCTGTCAGAGGCCTTTGTATTTGTAGTGTGTTCTAAACCTTGAGCCCCTTTTGCACAGAAGACAAAAGTGCATGATGTATACAGTAATGTATATTCAAAGATGAACTGCTGAATGTCCGAGGGTATTTCCTGTAACAGTATGATCAGTACCGTATGTTTACATTTGTAACAAATAATTATTATTCTCAGATAAGTACAACAACAAAAAAATACCTTGTGCCAGTTTTAATGTTGATTGCTTCATTTGAGCACAAAACTATGCATCTAGTTGTAGGTGATTACTAAAGTAGTAGGGACGCCAGTACACTTAGGGTGCTCCTGATCAACGAACAACCAAAAAGTGCTGCAGAAGACACAAGAAGTCTCCCCCAGCTTCATAATGTAACAGGTGGTTTGGATTTATAAGACACGTTTAAATATTTTATTTAAACAAATAAGACGAGCTTAAAAAAAATAACAATTTCCTACTGGTACTTTTTTAAAGTGTCATTTGTACCTTTTTTGCACGACAGAGCTGTAAATTGGTTATGGCATCTGAATGTGTGAGTGTGTCTGTCTGCTCCCGGTATAATGCACTGTAACGTTGATGCATGTCAACTGTCATAACGAAACCTATATTGGGTTAAAAGAGTGGATCAGCTTAAGCTCTTAAGTCCTTCACCCTACTTTTCTCCTTGTCTTTATTTTGAGCTTCTATTTATGAAAACCTACAGTATATTTGTGCAGGGAAAAAAATCATTTTGCATCTAATGTTGTGGTCTAAACTTTGATGGCACTCCTGCATGAAAGCAATAAACTATTTTGAATGAAAGGTGAGCTTCTTCTTCTAATACACAGCACTTTGATTTCCTGCTGTAGATTTTTTATTATTTTTTTTTTGAATTTTTAGATTTGACTCTAAAGTTCGCACCAGCACAAAGAATTCAAATGTAGGTTGTGAAATGTAGATTCAGGAAACGGTGAAAGATACTGGGTTACCTTTTGTTATATTGTCAGCAGTGAAATGCAGCCAAATCCAGAGAGCTCCACGGAGGTGTATATAGTAAGTGGGTGGAGCTTTGTGCTGTCAAATATTTACCTAGGAGAGTAGCTGAGTTAGAGCAGGATAAGATCCGGGTCTTGATGCTTCTGTTTCACTGCAGCAAGATTATTGCTTGGGCAATGGATTTTCATACACTGTACAAATATATCTATCAGCTTTGCCTCACGATGCAGGTAGGAGAAGGTTTGCCTTCATCAATAATTCACTAATACACTGGTTCCTTCTAGTGTAGTCTTCTCAGGAAAATGTATGCTTGTCTTCTGTCACATACAGGTTGTTTGGGGTTTAGATGAGGTGAAAATCCTGAATCCTCCAGAGGAGGCTTTGCCAGACCATCTTTTGCAAGTACTGTACTCTTGTGATGAAGCTACTACAGTACAGCTGGACTGTGTTGTATCCTTTGAAACTGGCACCATAAGCACATTTCTGCTAAGACAGTGGAATTGTGTCCCAGGTGTCAATAAAATAAGGACTGTGAAGCTGAATCTGCCAGACTGGTTGGTGTATCAACCTGATGGGATTGTTCCAGACTCTCAGTGGGTGCTGAGTTGTATCCTTCGAGCCTCAGTCAGACACACTGGATATGATGATACTGAGAAGTCTGTCAGAGCTCAACATGTGGCAAATTTGAAACCTAAGCCCTACTTAAGTCGACGTGTCAAACAACATCAGCTCTGTATTGCCTGGGGCACACAAATGCTCCAGCTAACTAAACAGTTTATCCAGAAACAGTGTGCCTTGGAACAAGGTGAGGTTGGAGAAGTAAAAGTTAACTCTATATGAAGTTAAAGTGAAGCTATGAAAAAAAAAATTCACCATATTTGACAGCAATATTTTGTGAATCTTAAAGATTTCAGAGAAAGATGAAAAAACTCACACAGTCCTCGTTTTTTAAACTTTGCAATAACGATGCTAAATTGTAGGCTTCCAAATTTCATTTAGAAACGCTTCATTTGCTGTCTTCGATCTATGCTTCAACTGGAGAAAGCTTTGGTATCACAAAGACACTGAATCCCCACAGGAATGAGGTTCTGGAGTATTTACGTGTTAAAGCCATCTCTTTCCCATGGTATGATAGACTGTTTACAGTATATCTGCTAGTTTTCCATTCTGTCATTAAAGTTACCATTTAAGGTCATTTAAACAAGTCTTTTTTATGGGGGGGGTTTCTAGGTGTACGCTTTCCATCTGGATATTTGTAACCAGACACTGCCAGGAAGCCTTGTGTGGCGTGTTTCATCATATAAATTCCCAAAATAGTTATATCACACCAGCAATACTCCTTACAAAGTCAGGTATAGTTCATTTTTTCTTACATATTCTATTTATCGCATTATCTTGACTTACATAAGGCTCATCTTCATTCACATTAAATGCAGGTCACCTACACATCCAGATGAATGGAGAGTCTCAGGAATCCTCTGCATTTCTCTCTTCATTCAAGGTCCCTTTAAATGTGTGGTGCAATCTTATTGTGATGGTGCAAGGTAGAACAGTAAGTAGTCTTTTGTTGACACAGCATACCGTTTATCATGCACATCATCATCATAATGAAAAAAACATGCTCATTGTCATTGCATCTCAGGTGGCTGTCAATATGGTATGCTTGGATAAAGACCAGAGAACAGTTAAAACTTCTGAATATATGTAAGTGTATTTCTAATGTGACATCATGATTCAGTTATTACCCTGAGGAAGAAAATGCATTTGAGGTGTACTATAACACTATGTGCTCTTCTGCTGTAAATCATGCTTTACAGGTTTAGATTTATTATCATGCTTGATGACACGGAGGGATATTTTGTGATTGGAGGAGGGAAGTATATACCAGGAGTGAAAGGCTATTTTGGACCAGTGATATACCACCGGAACCGAATAGTGCCTGACATTATGGTATTTCTAGTAATACTGTACTTACTTAATACTTGTAGCTACATCCAACTCAACTGTTCACTGTGTTCAAGTCTGATTATATCTTTCTTTTTCAGTCTGAGCTTTATGTTCCAGATGTTATACAGAATTTAAATCTCACCAGGTGGCTGCAGACTTGTGAAGAATTTAGCTTTGACATGAATGTCAAGATCAGTGGCCATTCAATCAAGATCCAGCAGAAGACAGAAGCCGGTAATATCAGCAGTAGGGTTTCCTTACACTAGATGGTGCAAAAAATAACTTTTCAACTAAACTTTTTAAAATAATGACACTGTGAGTAATGTGTTTGTGCTGCTTTTCTTCAGAAACTTGCTCTCATGCTTTCCATAAGTGGGTGGTGAAACACAGACAAACATCAAATCCACAGTGTGCATCGTGGGAAGCAGCTGCTCCTCGCAGAAGACATGCCGCTAAACTGGCCAAATTATTAGTTTTAAAACATGGTGAGAGATGAAGTATGATATTTTCAATTGCCAGGGCATTTTAAAATAGAATGCGGTCTGAATTAATGATGCTTTTCTGCAGTTGTAATAGCTGCTGTTTTGGATTCTGCATGTCATTAAACACATTAAAGTTCAATTTGTCCCTTGCAGAAGGAAGAGCAGTTAGCCTGCATGATTTGGGCAGAGCACTATACTCCTTATCACTCCATAAACTGGGCAAAGCGAGAAGCACAGAAGTGGTCAGCAAAGTATTATCACTGCTTCTCCAAGCTGGCTGTCTAGCTGATACCCGAGCTCTGCACATGTCATCTGTGCTCTACAGTACTGGCCTAGGAGTCCAGAAAGAGCCTTTTAAGGTCTGTTTTATCAGGTCATTTATAGTTTAATTAGTTGGGTTTTTTTTAAAAGCTTTTTTTCAATATATTCTCACATGTTCAAATGTATGATGCAGGCTTGGCTCCTCGGCCTGCTGGGTGCCCAAAAGGGTGATCGATTGGCATTGCTGCATCTTGGGCACCTGCACCACCTTGGACTGCATGGTCAGCCCAAGGATCATGATCTGGCCTATGCCTATTATGCTAACATTGCTCAACAGACAACTATAGACCGTCACAATCCCTCGCCACAGCAGGTTTGGAAACCATTGTTTTTTTCTATATAAATAATTTTTTTTATACAATGTATGACCTGCTTTACCAATACATTTAGATTACTTTTTATCATATCAGTTTTTCGATTTCTGTCCTCAATAAATGTATCTTTGTTTCTTCAGTTCATAAAAAAGCAGCAGTATAATGAAAGCGGCATTATTACAGTGATCAAAATTAGTTAACATTTAATTTAAAGCAAATTTATTTTTGAACCTTAGCATTTGTCTCCTCTTTTTTTTCTCCTTTTTAGACAACAGTTGAGGCTATTTTTGTGAACGATGAAAAGATGTTGAATATCCAGACCAGTGAAAACCACCACATCTTTCAATGGCTCAAACATCAGGCCCGGAGGGGAGCAACTGAGGCTGAGGTAGTCTACTGACTTTGTTGTTGCCCTTTTGTTTCAAGTATGCTTCTCACATTTCATCAAGCCAAAGACTGAGTTAACAGGTTTGTCACAAGACTAACTGCTGATATAACTGTTGGTATAATTGTTCTTCCACAAAGACAAAAGCAGAAGTAAAATCACTGATGTTCGTTAGCAAGAACTACAGAGGCTACAGAGGTGGAGCATGGGCAAAGGAAGCTCTGGTGGTGTTGATCTGCATCACTTTTTTTTAAAACTGGACTCCTACTTTATTAATGCACTGCAATGCCTGCAAACTCCCTAAGTGCTTTACTGGGACATGTGAAATTTACTGTAAAAAAAATCTAAAATAGTGGATTGAAATGATAATGTAGAACATCACAAGTAAATACATTCTCAAGAAATGGGGGATTTCAACATTTAGATTTTAGTAATACTTTGACAATTGTCTTACAGCAAGCTATTTCCCGCATGCTATTCTGGGGCCAGCAAGGAGTGACTCCAAACATCCTGGAGGCTGTGAGACACTATGAAAGGGGAGCTGTCCAGTGGGAGGATCCAGTGTCAATGTATGACTATGGGATAGTACTTCTGCAGGTCAGATTTGTGTTTGATATGCAATATGGAACAACATTGACAAATATCTTAATCTAAAGCATTTTCCTTCCACCTGTGTTAGCATTTAGTCACATCTACTTGTAATATATGAATGTTTCTCTCTGTAGGGACATGGAGTGGAAAAGAATATTCCAAAAGCTGTCACATTCCTAAAGAAAGCAATGGATAAGGTGGCTAAATGTTAATAACTTCTTTATAATGTATTTGTTATCTATGCTGTAACATCTGGAGTCCCCTTTAAGTTTGCATCTCATTCTGGTTCTCAAAATAATCGGTCCTAAAGGGTCATGTTCCTGCAATAAATGCCTTGGCCTGGTACTATGAGCACTTTGAGAAGGACTACAAACAGGCCATACAGCTATGGGAACAGGCCGATCTCCTCATGTGTCCAGAAGCAGCTTTCAATCTTGGTGCGATTTACTCACAGGGCCTTTATCCGGGAAAACCTGCCAACCAGGTAAGCTCAACTGTAACATCATCATCCACTGTAACGTATATGTCATGGGTCCTGTAAGTGGTAATAACGAATATATCTTATAATATAACAAATGTATCTGTCCTACAGTATATAGCCTATAAGTACTATCTGAAGTCTGCAGAGAGAGGAAATATCAGGGGAGGGATTCTGATTGCTGACATTTGGACCACTGGGATGCCTGGCTTTGTCAACAGACATCCATCGGACGCAGTTTTGTCAGCAACTTACTTTTTTTATTTATTTTAATTCACATGCATTTCTATTTGTCCCTTAACCAGAAT